GGCACTGGAGCCTTCCGAAGACGATCGAGAGGAAGTAGAAAGACTAGGAAAAGAAAATTGTGAAAACTAATCGGCATCGATTTTGCCCCATCAAAAAGAAGGACTTGACATTTTTTCATGCTAACGGATTTGAGGACTTTTGCGGAAAAACAATTGTAAAATTACGGAGGGCAAGTTCTGACATAATTTATCATTTTTTATCCCAACAGTCAGCGAAGTCCACAGAAGACAACTTACTAGCTAACCACATAACTACAGGACACATACTTAACGAGTTAAAGACCGCTGATGTCTGAAAATTCTAAAGTTGGCCCTTACATCGCATTTTAGTTTTCGAGAGGGATGAGTGCTGTGGCCTAGTAACACACACGGTGAAGAAATGTAAGGGGTTTTAGTGCCCAAACATCAACAAAACGACCCCGCTAGTAATTTACGGTTAAATAAGAAGAAAGCAACAAAGAATCAGAAAACCCTCAACCCTAATCAACATGTGTTGTCAACTAAGTTGATCTCCATCCTGGTCTAGCGCACCTACAGCGTGGCCTGTAATGAAATGGATAACCCGAACACAATTAGGAAGACACCATCGTCCTAAGGCGTGCCGAGGCGCCGAACTGCGGATGAGAAACGACGCAGTAGGCGCCACCGAATTAATGACGACACCCACCCACCTACACTACCTTACTAAAGCATTCGAAAACCAACGTTATCAGCCCTTATTTGTAGCTCGTAAATCACCAGTCTTCTGGCCTATAAGGTGATTCAGATCAAAATCATCCAAACAGTAGCTTGCAACACTAGAGACGATTTCCTGCCTCGCGATAACGGATGTGCTAGCTTAACACAGGTTTTGATCAAATTTTATTTGGCCACTAAGCTACTTGATGATATATAAAAGCGAACCTAGAATTTACACGAAATTTAGGATTGTTTTGTCGGAAGATATGAACTGTCCTTGTTCTAGTATAACGAAGACTGATAAAAAACGTCAATATCTAAGGGGTTCTGCAGTTGCGCCCAATCGTCTGCATAAGAGATCATAGCCACTTCAAGACTGCAGAAGTTACCTGCATAGAATCGCGCTCCTACCGAAAGTGGTTATTTGCGAAGACTGTAATCACTAACCTGAGATATAATAAAGGGATTATTATGCGGCGTACACCCGCATGATCGAAACTTACTAAGTTCCATCTCAACATCCCCTATGTGAACACAACTCAAATCTTGCCGTCCTAATTTGGTACGAATTTCTCTTACCTTTGGGCAACTGTTTACCAGGGTAACCGCGAAAAAGTTTTACTTTAAATTATGTCCGACCGCAAAGTAAACCCGTTTTCTTACCGCCCAAATTATATTGAGCGGCTCTCAGACTTTGTTCACCGTCATATGATATTACTAGCTAAAGAAAAATACAAAAATAGTCTTTCACTGGCTAACCTACTTACTTGCGCTTACAAACGGCAAACAGTGCTAGCCATTTACCGGTGGCAAACACCACTTCTAACTGTCCAATAACGAAAGGAGGGCCCAACCTCACACACATCACTGTGAAGGTTTAACACTCGTGCTAACCAGTACCTCCGACAAACCAGAGTATCAGTATCAGTTTATTGAGAGAAAGATAGGCGAACGCCCTTGAACTCCCTGTTGGTAACAAGAAAAATTTAAAATTTACGTCAATTACATGTTCCGGGAAGACCCCACAGAGTATAGCCTAAAATACTGGGGCTGATGCTTCCATCAAACCTATATAATTAGAACAGTCGTTACTAAAATTGGTAGACAATAAAGCATGCATAGACCGATCCTACACGAGCCAATATGGCCACCGCGATTAGCCCAGAGCATGTTAAACATCCAATATCGATGACAATGTTTACCTGTCTCTCGCCTCAATTCTGCTTAGACTTATAGAGATAAAGATGACTGAACAACAGATTACAAAAACCGGAACTATGTGAGCAGTGCACATGAAAAAGTACCTTCGCGGTTCCCGATGCACTGGTTGAGCATACGCAGAATGATTGGAGTCCGAATCAGAAGAGCCACTTGAATATATTTTCCGAGCACTGCTCCGCTTTTTAGATTCGGACTTTGAGCGTTCGGGTGAAGTTTTGGAGTCATCCCCTGAGTCGGAAAAGGTCGACTCTTTTTTTCTTTGTTGTTTTGTGCGACTTTCGATAAGCTTCTGAAACTTTCTTGAGGTAGCTTCCTAGGCGTATAAAGCTCAAGAGATAGGCAAGTACCTTCTGTTTAGCCATCGCGCTCTTCCGGTCACGAAGTCCAACCTTGAGGGATGCATCACTCAAAAAGCTTTCTTCATCTTCACTATCGGAACTGTAGATGTCCGCGTAAGTGGAAGGCTTTTTGGTTTTAGCGCTCTCGGACGGTCGCTTTTCTGACGTCGCACTTGACCGACTGCCCTTATCGACCTTCTCCTTCTCCCTCTGTTCTTTCAGCTTCCTCTTAAAGGCATTCCGAATCTGACTAAATGAGCAAAGGTGAATATTGACGCCTACCTGCATGGCTTCACGCCTTTCTGCTCTTCGGTACAGTTCCTCTTCACGTTCCTTCTCGCTCATTTTTAGCAGTCTTTGACGATCCTCTTCGCCACAGTACAAATCTTCATCATACACGTCATCCTCATCATCTTCTAAGGCATCGCTGGGAATTTCTCCCTCTTCAGGATCGCTCAAGCCGTTATCCATGCGCGGTTTCTTTGAACTTCCATGCGCAGGTTTCTTGTTCACTTTCCGAGAAGAGGTCCACTTTAAAAGTTAAACAGAGGGAGTGCGCTTTCTAATCACTTTCTAGGAGATAGGGGGCAACCTGCAACAACAGAGCTTGCAAAAACACTGAAGCACAGGCCGTTGTGGCAGATAACCAGCATTAGTTGAAATTCTCAAAATGAGCAGAAAATAGTCCTTAAAGAAATTAGAGTACATATATATAAGGAAGGGGCT